GTGTATCTGGCTGAGCGCTCAGCTCATCGGATATATCCAGCAAATTTCCAAACACTGCATCTATTACTAATATGCATCTGTTGTAACCTTTTGGAGTTCACCAAAAATTAAATGTGTATAGCACAACGTTTTACTCGAGCAAATGAATTTTGCCGTTGTCTGTGATCTCGTTTACTTCAAAATTCAACACACTGATACCATTTTCGAAAATGTGAACAATGAATTGTTGGCAACAAGTGCTTATAATCTTAACACAGTTCTTGACTTTTAACCATTTATTTATACAGAGAATGTGTATTACGAACTGAAGAGAAAAGAAAATAAAGAAGATGTTCTAAGCTGTGATGGGTGAGCAGATACACTGTTAGCAATTCGAAAATATGCAGGCGCATAAAGTTGTAGATTACACAACCGCATTTCAGCAGCAGCAGCAACAACAACAACAACAACAAAAATCAATTCTAAGCAGTTGTCACACGCTTTCCTACATAACGTTGTAGCCAAAAACATCTAATTCTATTCAATTAGGGGCTTATTTGATTTATAACATTGATATAAAACTTTCACGTCGAACTAAACGGAAAACGAGTGCAGATTTTTTTTTCTTTTATTTAACTCCGTCTAAAGTTTGCATTGAATTAAAATTAAAGAGACGAAATGAATAATAGCATATTATAAATGGTAACGAGCTACATTATGGTGTGGTCTAGGGTGTGGTGTTTGTAAAACAACTGACTTTGTTGGGAAAAATAAATCAACGATCGAATGAAAATGAAGCGCAGAAAAAAAGTTTAATCGTATTTGGTTGCAATTGTTGACATAAGGATGCCATGCTATACCCGTATGGAAATGACTAAGTCACTATTGACTGTAAGGGTATAGTTGGCTATCAATAATTTTCTTCAATTTTGTATGGAAAACAGTCGACTCAGTCAGTCAGTCAATTATTTTGGTGCATTTTGACTAGTCACTAGTTTTGCACACGGGTAACAGCTATACTTACAAATTTGACTGTTGATTTTATGGCGAGCTTTATATAAATTGTCATTAGGTAATAGTCAACTTGATTGAATTAAATGATAAAAACCGAAAAATCAATGACATAAAAGTAATGAAACAACAATCCCTCGCATACTTTTTACTTGACATAAATGGACAATATGCCATGGCACTAATATTGCATTTGACTTTTCGTGTTTACAAGATTTTTTTTTGTGGATGATAAAAATATGAAAATGTTTACAAAGCATATAAACACTCCTACAGACAGCACACAAATCAAAAAGCGAATCAGACACAACCTACCATCACTTGCTTTCTATATCACCTGTATATTTTTTTTGAGCTTCACGTTCCGAGCGACATCTCTATGTGCTTGGCATTGAACTCGCGATCCAAACGAGCACCAAAGGCAATTAAAACATTTTTTTTTTTTGGTGCGAAAAAGTCAAAAATGTCAACTGATTTTGTGTGAAGAAAAACCATGTGATATGCAACGTCCTCGCAGTTAATTTTGATGACACAAACTGTGCAAAGTAATTTCAATTTATTTTCCATCACAAATTCACTAAATACAAATAATAAATCGGTTTTTGTTCAATTTACACGGTATATCTTTATCGAGCGTAAAATGACAGACGTCACAACAAATGATTCCGTATTCAAACTTCAAACAATTAACATTCTACACAAACTTTTTGTTCTAATTTTCATGAGCACATAGAGATGGCGCCATCATGCAGTTTTTTACATTATTTGCCATTGTAAGTGATGGTAGGACACAACCAACACATTCATGAGATACGCAATTATTATGTGCGCCATATAACGAATCTTTATGCCAAATGTTTGAATAAATTTTTTTTTATCTTAGCAAAGACATTTTTTTATCACAAACAAGTTTAAACAGTTGCGTAGTTTTGTATTTTCAGTACAAACAAGCGGACGAAACTGGAGGGACATTGGTACAACAGAATACTGTATCATTGATTTAGTTTATCTCTTTTGTATTGTTAATTTAGCCAAATGGCGGCATTGCTGTCAACTTTGAATTGTTGAACAGTGTGCATTTCATTGTGTCGAAATCGTCAAACGTATAGAGAGCATTTTTTATGGATTTTTTTAGCTGAAATGCGGAGTTTTATGGAATGTAAATGGTGGTTGAATCTATTGAACGGTTGCAAATGTGGATGCAAATAAAATAGACTAAGCTTTCAGAATAATACGCCTTCGGCGTATTCAAAATCGTTTTTGTTCATTTCATCGTTCATTCCATCTCTAAATCCTTCTATTATTCCGCTCCCTCAGTCTATTGCCGTCTTTGTTATGGCACGTGAGTTGGGTCGTCACTGAAAACGGTGGTTTGCTTGACACTCTTTGCGGTCAGTTCAAAAAAAAAAATATTGTTATCATCATCGTAGTCGTCTGCTTTTCATCGCGCTACCGAGTATTTATATAGCTCAAGTATATAGAAGTTTACCATATCATAGTATATAAAAATGTTCAAGTCTTATTATTCTTGGTTCCTGTTAGGTGAATTCGTGTGCTTGTCAACGCACATATTTCCATTAAGCATTTCGAAGCATTTAGTATATGCACTTATGCGCCATCCTTTCCACAATCACAATATTGTGTAAATTCATCATTTTCAGCTGCTACGGATATGGACTTTTTGTCAAACTCCGAGGTTATATATGTGTGTATGTGATATAATAACAGGATGTAGGATCAAATGGCACGGTATTGTGACAAAGAGCATATTTAGTCGAATATGATGGAATACCAACCACTCGGGTACTCAACACACTTTTGGAACAATTGAATTGTTGCACATACAAAACTATTGGTTGCCACGAAAAGTTTCGAACAATTGAGTAAAAATCTATCTCATGCTAGAAATTGAAAATGATTAAATAAAAGATAGATAAATTAGTTTTGTTTATGATAATCAATTTTGAATTCATAACTTAACACCACAGCCAACAAAATACTCTTAAAAGGTCTTCCATTTTGATCCAACAACATCAAAATAAGGCCAGCGCTAAAAATGTCTCGCATATATGAACTTTTCCACCTATGATCATTTCCATTATTATTTTCTATGACTTTTCAACGACCATGACCGTTCGACTTTTTTGTGATTGTGTCAACTTTAGTGCTGGCCAACGGGCTTTATCGTGTTGGTATGTTTGTGTTGTTTCTCTCTCCCGCCATTGAAATGTGTGATTTTTACATGAATGGGTCGCTTACTTTTTTGATTTGTGTTGCGCCATTGACGCAAATTCATTTCCGTTTCTCGCGACGATTGTTATGAAAGAAAGAGAATGAAATAAAAAGGGACCAAATATGTTTTAGATGACTAATTCGAGCCACAAAAAAATGCATCCCATATATAAAGTGTATGGATGCAACATCAAAATGACATAAAAGTGTTATATTTTCACATAGGATTTCGCAACAAAAGTCGAATTTAATGAAAATTCGCACTAATAAAACGAACCATTCACATACATACGCCCAAAGTACCATACACATCAATCATTTATTGCATGAGAACTTTTCATTATTGCTATCGTTGATGCCGCTCATTTTTTTTTATCAACGAAATAAAACACCCACAAATATACACATACAATCATTTTATTTAGGCTTTGCGCACTCGTATTTGATGAAATTTCACGAAATGTCTATATTTTACAGCTGATATCTTTTTTACGTATATGTAGAGTGTTTTTGATGATATTTCTTGATTAAATGAATGACTCATTGAATGAATATTTTTACAAATGTGTCGGCAACGAGTTTAGCTGTTATATACGCATCCAATAAACGGATCAAGCCATCACACTTTTACGAGTGGCAAATAAAAAAAAAAGAAACAACGGTAACAGAAACCAACAAATAAACAAGTAAATAACACCACATCACCAAAAACTGCAATTTAAAATGGGAAATAATAAAGTGAAAGGGTAAAGCGCTGAATGGTTCATATAAGTACATTAATGTCAGTACTTCATCAAGAATCAATTTCATCATATGTGTTTGTTCGTTGTTGAAAAAAAAAAAACGGCATTGGAGATATATTGGGAATATAACTTGCTTTGTTCAGTTTTTGCTGGCTCGAACTCCGATATTTTTTCCAATTTTTTTCAACACAATTGTATTTCAAAAATATACAGCATTTGATTTATCACCAAATGTTTAACTAATTAAATTTTACACCTTGCTGGATGACGAATCAATACACTTTACGGCAGGAATTCGGTAGAATCAGATAAATGTACATTTTTTGTTGTAATAATAAAAGTATTTCTCTAAACTCAGAAATTATTTCCCCAGAAATTAACCGACCAGAATTTAATGTTTTAGGAAATAAACATTGCTTTGAACAGAAAAACGCAAAAAAAAATTAAGTATTTTTTCACCCAATATGAAGTATCCGAAATGATAAAAGCCGAACTGTATTTAAATGAGTGACATTCATATATTTTTTGAATTGCTTCGTTAACGTTTAATTGAAATTGCTCTTCACTCTTCACATGTTTAATTGAAATTAAAGTAATATTGTGATTTTCATTTGATTAGAAATTAAAAATTAACAATATTAAATTAAATTCATTGAAATTGAAGTGAGAAGAAAAAAAAACGATACAAAAAAGATTTGAAAGCTTGTGAACTTTCAAAGGAATTGGGTTGATGTTTGGCTTTTTGCTTTGTTGCTTTTTTGTCACCTATCCCATCAAATGTTGAAAAATGTAAAAAAAGCCATTTTCTCGTTTCATCAACATACATTAGTTCAATAAAAAAAGCCCCACTACACATTCAAATGCACTCATTGTGTCATATACTTCTGTATAGAGAGAGCTCAAGTTTTGCAATTCATGCATTTAATGTGTTCGATTGAGTGTGAATGCGTGTTGATGAAAAACGAAAAAAAGTCGGTAATAAGAATAAAGCATCAAAATGAAATACATATTATATAAATGAATCTGTCTACTTACAGTGGACGACTAAAAACCATTTATCTTCGATTATACTGTTCTCGATATATGGATTTGCTGCACGACACGACAAATGTTTTCCATCATCATCTATGGATGGTGTGAATGTCAGCACGCTCAGTGATTGATTATCTGGATTTTCCGAAAACTGTGAAAGAATCAGGACAAAATGATAGTGAATCTCAAAAAAAAAAAAAATGTTGCATAGAAAAAAAGGGACATTAAAACGTATTTCATCCAGTGAGAGTAGATCATTTCACACTGCATTAATAACAAGAAAAAACATAACCGAGATAACGAAAACACCATTCACGGAACGAATATTCGTCAACAATAGCACATTTTCACGCCCTCCTTCCCACTTCTACTCGCTCCAATTTACGAATTGTTTTTATTATTTTGTTTGAATTATACCATTTGAATTTCGTTCTCGGTTTGTATGTGTATGTATGATTGCAGAAAATAGATTATCTAAAATCCGATAAATGATCGACAACATCTACCGTCATCATTACGCTTTTTATCGAAACGTGTCCATACATTTCGATTGGAAATACTTTTTTCAAATGTTTAAAGTTGGATTTAATAGCGAAGCTAAGTTCATTCGGTGAATACAATTCGGAGCAAGTAAATATAAAAAAAATTCCTAAAATTATCACATCTCCTCATCCAATTTCACATTTTATGATTTAGAGAAATTTGTTTTGTCGAACGAAAAAACTCCAAGAAATTCCGAATGCGGTGCGAACAAAGGCAATAAACAGGCAATAAACACCCAACACCTTGAACACAGGATGTTCAATTTGAACTCTTTATAGCATCGCGGTTTACTTGACAGAATTAAACAGGTCTTTGTCTTGCTTGAAGGCACCTGAACTCGCCGCAAAGGAACATAATAACCATTTACTGTCATTAGCGCGTAAATTGTATGAATTGTGTCGAAGTACAAAAGAAAAAGTTTCAAAACAGTGCAAAAGAAATAACGACAAAAAGGGTACGCACTTCAAAAAATGTTGATGTAACTTTCAACACAATGGACATTTTCTAATATTTATTTGTGAACGGTTTTTTTCTCACACGCTTACAGTTTTGAGAGCGAACGAAAGTCAGTTTACAATTTGCATTATCATCTCGATTAAAATCTTTGTCGTTTATATAAAAACGATGAACGAAAAAGTCGAATAAATTGAACGAAAAAAAAAAAATTCAAAAAACTAAAGCCATTTTATTTAATTTTCATCTAATTTTGTAGCTATAATTTGGAAGTGGCGAAAAAGCGAGAAATGGCCGCATGCACGTTCTTTCATTTCGTTGGCTTTGGAAAATAATACAAGTGTAATATTGCTTTGCGAATGAATAGAGAAAAGAAAAACGGTAAGACTCTAAACTAGATTTAATCACAACGCTAAAACAAAGTTATTCACGTACACGAAAAAAAAAAATCGTATGCGGTTCTATTATATGACTTCATCCATATCGTCAAGAGCGAGTAAATATGAAGATTACGAAAAGTACTAAGAAATTCTTTGTTGAGTTTTATACGATATTTTTATGGTCGAAAATTTCGTTTGGCTTGTTATTCTTGTTTTGCCAAAAGTACACATTAATTTTCTCTTTTTGCTGTTTTTTTTGTGTGTGTCTCTCTCAAAAAAAAAAAGAATAAACAAATATACACACGTACTTTATTCTTGATGCATACGAATTGATTGCATTTCTTAAGTATTTTCTATTTTAAGTTTTACTTTGAAATTGTTTGACCGATTAAATGCAAGCGAAAACCACGATTTCGATGGAAACTTTAATTGTTCCAAAGCTCGATGTTTAACATTTTCAATGAGAATGAAATATAATTATACATCAAAATGTGAATTGTCCGATGGCAAATGGTAAATGGTAAATAGTTAAGCAAGTAAAGTACATGGTGATGTGGTTGTTATCGCTGCGATTAATGTAACTGCTGAGTTCTATATCTTAATCACTTCCTTTCAATTTTGCGGTGCGTATGAATTCGAAATTCCTGCCATACATAGAGACCAACGAGCAAACCGGTTTACAACTGTGATACAACACACACACACTCTCACAATATCCATTTTATCGTCATATTTATGCATGTCGTTTAAGATATGTAATTGCTTAAAACTACTGTGAGCATGTTCCGTTTTATTTTTGCATTGGAATGTGGACGATTGAAATCAGCTTGTTCGTTCACATTCGGTGGCATTATATTTTTCGTTTTATTCTCTCTAATCCATTTAATCCCAACGATTGAGTGAAATCACTGTGTTTGTATTTAAATTGGAATTTTTGTATCAGTGATTTTCGAAAAGGTGCAACGAGAAATACAAATGCAAACTTGTCACGCAGAAATCGGGTGAGATAGAGCGTGAAATGGCTATACCGTTGTGACACAACCTCACAACCGTGTGTTTACTTACATTTCGAACAGGGCGTTTTATTTGCTTAGTGCCGCGCCACCAGGTAATTACGGCAGCTGGTTTCGATCCAGAGCTCTTGCATTCAATATCGTATGTCTTATCAGCTGAGACAAATGTTCGTTTCGCCAAAATATGGACAGCGGCCGGTTTAACTATGGATTGAAAAATAAACAAAACATAAATGTTTTAATTGTTTTTATTGCCATGAAACAAACGATAAAATTGATGTTTTGAAAATGGTTAAAGAGGGAAAGATAACATACGATTGACATCGATAACAAGCACTTTGCTATTTGGCGGCATTAGATTTGTGTTACTTGCGATGCAAACGAAACGGGCGTTTACGTGCTGTCGTCCAATATTTGGATATGATAAATGATTCACGGTTACTCCTTCGGGACGTTGCTCAAATGATTCATCAATAACGGTGTTGTCTAAATACCAAGTGACATTTGGCCGTGGTCGACCTATAAATGAATACAAACAAACAAACACAAATCAATAAAAAAGAATGAAATACATATTAAAATTTACTGCTTTTCAAACACTTTCTGCACACGCCCATTTACACAAAAACAAGACTCCCATTTACATTCGAGAAAGAACACGAAACTAGCTAATTGTTGAAGAGATAAATCAATGTCGCCTCATAAAGATTTAACTTTTTTTTTTTCATTGAATTGGAGTTAGTGCGAACTGCGAATCCCCTGAGGATCTAAATGCGAAATTACTATGTCTATACTAGCTAGAAGATGAAATTGAATATTTTTTCTTCTGGTATTGAGAAGAACATACTTGGACTTTAGAGAAATACAGGCAGTTTGTTATTGGACTTTATATTTTTCAATAAAGAGACTAACCTCAATAGTTTTAATAGATTTCTCAACACAATGTGTAGTGGCGCAAGTAGCTGACGCAATTGTTCGCGTCAGGCAATCACCACATCATAAAATAAAGTGATTTGTATGATTGTTTACGCCTCTGGCGCTTCGATTTAAATAATCAATTTTTGCTTCACAATTCAAATAGTTTTGTACCGGAGTGGGTTTTCCATTTTTGATATGTTGGTAAATGTAGGCATGTATACCAGATTTTCAATGATATGAACTATTGGTACAATTCTCCTGTGGATTTGATGTGAGTGCTTTTTTTGTAATCATAACAAATTATTTTCATTATAATGAAAGTATGACATGATATAACCGGTAATTTCAACTTGTATTTATTAAAACGATTCGTAAAAAACTGTATGTTATTAGAAATAAAGAAACATACAACAACTCGAATGCTTCAAACTGCTATTCATAGTAGGTGTTTCGAAAAGATATTGATTATGCATTTTCTTTGCAAATATTTTTTGCAAGAAATAAACCAGGTTCGATTCCAATACGTAAATGTAAACGGGAATAAATGTAAAATAAACTCTTCTGTACTCATTGTTCATATATATGTACAGCAAATATTTTTTTTTAAGTAGAAGACGAAAAAAAAAATATTTAGTTTAAGCTTTTACGATTAAGCATATAAAATAGAAAAAAATCATGTAGTCATGACTACAATACATTGTTTGGACTTTCTTCGATTCGTGCAGCACTCGTTTCTTCTCTCCATAGTTTACATAAATGACCAATGAATGCCGACAATACTGCCATCGCTCTATACAAATCCAACTTCCTCGCTTTGGTTCGCAATGACAACAGAATACAAAGTGTTTCGAAAACAAAATTGCAGATGCATTCTTTCTTGTGAACATGAGATACGGAAATTAAAACGAAAAAAAAAAAAAATTGTTGCCAAAACGAAAAGTTGCATTCATGTGTGCAGCGGCGCTTGTAAAGATAAGTATGAACTTCCAAGATTCGTGTGTATATTTATCGTTAAGTTTTCCGTACATTTCATATTGTTTGTGTGACATGTTTTATGTGTTAGTGCTATATTCAGATTGTGTATGTATTTTTGAACTACAACAATATCCCTGAGTGGATGACACCAAACTCAAGACAGACGACACACTGTGTATAAAATGTGCTTAAACAACGACGCAAAGAAAAGCTACCGTTGACAAATATGTTGAGTACACACAAAAAACGTATAGCATGTTATCTGCTAACAGTTTCCATAATTCACATGTTTTCTGGTGGTTGCGTGGTACTTGGTCAGTGTTAGTATGGTCAAAAGGTCTTGGGAATCTGTGTGTTGGTGTATTCTTCATTTCACACTGCTCGTTTCACTTAATTGAAAGAGCAAATTGTTTATAATAGTCAATGTACCGCAAGCTTTTTGGGGAATATGAAATGACCTTATGGAAAAACAAGAGATAAAAATTATCACAGCAAAGAAAGAAAACAGATAAGCACAGAGAGACTGAATGAATAGAGCTTTTCTTTTCAACTATCTCTATCTCTCTATCTCTTTCTCTACTATTACAACGTTTCTGATGTATAAGTGTTGTGTATCAAACATATTAAATCTCCTTGCGCCAGAAAATAAAAAAAAACGTTTGGATATTTGTCGAAGAGACTGATAGCAAATATTTTAGAGTGAACCATTTTTTTTTTTTTGTAATACAAATTTTGTATACTTTTCTTCTAACTATCATTTTTTTATTGAATGCAGATTGCTAAATATTTGGTGTAGCACGGGCATACATCCGCACATGGAAGGTAAAAATTGTCTAGTTTCAGTTGGGTTTTTTGGACTGGAAATGCATCTTCAGAAAATGGTCATTCTTGGGGTAACTTTTGATGCTCTATCGATTGGCATCATTATTTTTTCATCCTGACCCTGCCCTCCCCCCTAATCAGGGGGTTGTCATTTTATTTCACTGAAAATTTGTGCTGCACGGGCTAGAATGACAAAAGTATCTTGCTAGGGGAATTCGTGTATATATATATTGTATTATTCCATGATTCTGGACCGAAATTTATGTGTGTCCGAAAAGATTCACATAATGCGGCTCAATATTTCATCACAATAATTTATTTTTTTTTTACTATTTTCCGAATTGGCCATTGCAGTATAAATTTTGCAAATAGTCGCCAATAACATATGCAAATGATTCGCAAAATGCACGATGATTTTGATTTCGTTCTGAGCCCCTAGCACTTTTGCGCACACGAATATCAATAAGTTGCAAATGATCCAAAATAGCACACTCAAAATGTGCTCGTCAAATATCATTTCAACAATGTGGTTTATCGGCATAGTTTGGTATTCGTTAGCACTTGAATGTATCTCTCTTTCCAAGACTGTGGAAACTCTCACTTCTGTTTTTATTTGGCACATTGCATTGTCGACTTTATTGACTCTTCTCGTCCCGAATATTTACTCGATTTTCTCCCTTATTTTACAAGTTCCTTCATCTAGTGCTGATTGGCACTGGCATATCACACCAATGACAATGACAACAACGACAACAACGACAACAACGATAGCGAAGAAATAAGTAAGAAGAAAAAAATATATATTATATTTATGTCAAGTCAACTAATAAATGGACTAATAAAATTCTCTTGATGCTCGAGAAAAGCGCCAGCAAAAGAGTCACAAACACACTCACACAAACAAACTGTGATATCTGCGCCGCAAAGACTATCAACAAGATCGATATCGGTACCCGAGTATCGAATTCAACCAATTTCAATATATGAAAATGTTATTATTAGCTGCACAAATAACAGCAAAATTCGATGTGAACGAGTACATATGGAGTATGTGCCGAGGAAATGAAGAATCTTTATGTTGACGATGCCAAACATAATGGGCACTAGGTGGATTTTGGCAAATCGTTGAAACCAGCACTCTTTCTCTCTAGCTCGTTTTTTCTCTCTCTATTTTTTGGTCGTTAAATATTATGTGCGTGTCACACAAATGAAGATCCCATCGACATAGAGAGAATTGAATATAAAAATCGTCCGTGACATATCCATGAATGTCCACTGTCCATATATTGCGCGAACAGTGCTTTTGCTTGCCAATGATATATCATCTATATTGTCACTATCTGTCTGTTTGTCTGTCTATCTATCTATCTATCTAGATGTAACTATTTGTCGGTTTGCCTGTTTTCATCCATGAATTCGCACTTTTCTTGAACATCTTGTGAATTGTGTTGGTTTTGTAGTCCGCATTGTTTTCATTTTCACCGTTCATTTCCAAGCATCGTTATGACAATGAATCTAGTTTTTATGGTTTTTTGTGCCAAATAAGCTTTTTACGATTACACCCATACACAATGGTAAAGTCTACTTAATTCAGTGCACATGATTTTTATTGTTGAGCCAGGCATTATATTCAATGTGTATGGCAATCTCACGAAACAACACACCATTTCTGCTCAATTTAGTTTGAGTTGATATAATTGATTCCAGTTTATTTACGTTTTTTTTTCTTTCGGGGAAATTGACTTGTAACCGTTGCGTTAACAGACAAATCTTTACCTTCCGTGCATTAGAAAGGATGGAAAAATAAACACCATAACCACAACAAAATCTACATTATAAATGTGTTACATCGTTAGTTTTTCTTATTATTAAGCGTCTACTAACCATACACATGCACACACACATATATAGAATAGAATTATGTGCGCTACGACGATATCTATTTTTTTCTTCTTTCATTTCGTCGTATTGCCATTGCCCATCGTGTGTATATCATTTCAATGCCATGAAACCAAAGAAAAAAAAACGAATTCTGCTGACTTCAACTTATCTGCACTGAAACTTTTGTACATTCTATTTAATATCTTCTCTCTAAATCACCGCCTTTCTCGTACTTTTTTCCCCATCCATGTGAAGTGTAAATACGTTCTTTTTTTTAAATCGTTTATATCTAAGTATGTGCAGTAGCATAAAAAACTTGCGATGGTTGACATTTCCGGCTGAAATTCACTTGTTACCCCGAATGTATTCTGAAATTCTAAGTGCAAGTGCATACGTGATCTATCTCAATGCTGCCATCATTATCCTGCAGCAAATCCAATGCAATTGTATTTGGCTGGGGCGGTTGGTTAGTTGGTTGATTCTGTTTGGTTTGACTTCGGGTTGCATGGCCATCAAATGCATCTGAGCGAGAATTATTTCTGCCGTTGATGCTCATTGAAATCAATTGAAAGACATTTTTATTATTTTTCAATTTTCAATTTCGATTTCGGTGTCGTTTTCGTCGAAGAAAAGGAGAATTTTTTGTGTCATGATTGCAGCCAAGCTCAATCGACTGCAACAATGCTGATACACTATCATAACTGTGTTATTCACAATTTTGGATCGGTGGAATGGTGCACAAGCAATTCCATAAAGCTACTGAATAATTCAATAAAAAAAATCTCTTCCATCGCTTCCATCCGTAGTTCTCTTTTTCATCTGACTCGTTCACTTATTTTTTTTGTCGATTTCAAAATTTTGTTGTTGTCGCTCTGTACGTAGTTTCGTCTTTTTTTCATTTGTCGTTATTCATTCATCTCTCTGTTCGAAAATCTGTTTCATGATGTTATGTTCGATGTGGAAGCAGTCAAATATGTTTAGAACATGAAACAGCATGCGGAATGTGTGATTTATGAAAAATGAATTGCGCATTTTTCAGCCGAATTTTGTATGTTTGCATCGCATGAAAGTAAGCTTGACATACATTCGTACTTTGTATGTGCAATTGTGTGTGTGTTTTTGCTTCTGCTCTTACAGCTCTTTACTTTGCAAATGTCGATTTGATTGCATATCGGCTTTTCCCGTTCGTAAATTCATTCAAATGTAATCAGCGAGAGTGAGAGCATAAGTGAAAGATCTAAGAGAGCAAGAGAACGGGTAAAAACTGTTGTGAATAGCATTTTTCATAGCATACAAAGCCGAAACAATGACATACTGTTTACCCTACCCCATTGAAAGAATCACAAAATGAACGACAAAAACTACATATTTCGACATTTATTTTGCAGAGTGTTCATATATGCCGATTAATTGCGGATCTCATTTCCGACACAGTAAATGAAAATCGAAATGCATTGTGCACACACTCTGAAAATCTCTCATTAAATATGAACAAACTTCAACAAAAAAAAAATTCGTCGTTTTTAACACTCTTTGATACTAGCGATGCTGTGTGCGCGCTTTACAAATAGAGCTCCAAACTAGTCTTGTTAATTTTACAATATGAACTTGTTATAGTTTTAACGAATTGGTTTTTGATTTATAATAGAAGAAGTGCGAGTCAGCATATCGGTTCATTTTTCCGTTTGATAATTTTGTACTGAAATGGAAAAGTTTTCTCATATCTAATCATGACCAAGAATTATTAATCTTTGAGTCATTATCAATAAAATCGTTTCATGCATTTACGTAAATGTTCGGCGTCTTCAATGTTCATGAACAATTCAGAAATCATTATAGAAGTACAGGTATTTTTATACATTTTGAATGTATGAGAGCGTGAAAAGTATTTTTTTTCGTCAGTAACGCCGCCTTACATGGCTACTGAAGAACTACGACAATGACAAACCAGTGAGTAGCTGTATGTCAAACCATTCTGAAACAATTCGCACAAATACACAGGAACACACAACTCCGTCTCTGTGCGTGCTACACTTAGTTGCTTAGTGTGTATTTGTGTATTGACGTAAATTGCGAGTAAAGTAAGTAGCTCCGTCTTTCTATGTATGGCATGCATTGTATGCTACGGCTCCTATAAACATCCGCAGGAATTATTTTCGTTTTTTTGGAGTAAATGACAGCAGACGGAGCAGCAAACAAATTTTCAAAAAAAATTACCACAAAACGTGTAGAATACGGCCTTTTTGTCAATGACAAATTGTCTTAATGTCCATTTTATGTACACACTGTATTCCATTTTCAACTAGATTTTTCGATCAACAAAATTTAGAGATCATTTTCTAATACAATGCATGCAAAGATAAAGCGCATTATGAGTTTTAGGCTAAATAATCATAATATTTTTGTAATACATTCGACTTATATTATGATTGTTTTTGTAAAATGGCCAATAAATAACATTTGCCAGTATTAGATGTAATATTGGATTATAAAGTTGAATTTTATGTGAATGAATGAGCTGGCATCAAGATACTTCGTTTACATTGCGTTGAATATATATATTTATTGAAAAGTAATCTGGTTGCAAACCATCCAGAGAACATGAAAACTCACTGCACCGGCGACTGGCCGGCCCATAATGTGCAGTGTGCACACCTGCTTTATGCAGTGCACGATTTCAGATTATTAGTGTTTGAATAATGTTCATGAAGTGCACAATGTTCGCAATAGTAGAAAACCGAAACAATAAAACGTTGATAATAGTGTCTGCATGTGTGTGTGTGTGGTGTGCTTGGAAGAATCGTATTATGATAACCCATAACAGACGAGCATTATTATTTTCTTATCTGTAATGCAATGCATTGCTATGATGATATTTTTGTTGGTTGGTTGTTGTTAATATTGTTGCTATGCTGTTGCTACCGTTGCTGATGGTCGGCCACCATATATTCGGTGTTTGTGTCCGCTTTTCATATGAATAAAAAGCATTTATTACAATTTTTCCACTGTGATGAAACGCAACAGTAAATCTAAATATAAAATTCAACATCATTTGAAATGAGCAATTTTACTACAACATAAAATATGAACTAGCATAAAATGGTTCGTACGATTTGGTTTCGAAATGTGGAGATGGTGGTGGTACGTGGTAGTAGAACGATGAGCATCACCAACAACAACAACGACGCACCAACAATGGTCATAATTTTGAGACGGTAACCAAAACGACAACCGGTGACCAAGCCAAAGCAGAAATTAATTTTATTTGTGGTCGTTGTATTTATGTTGAACCTTGTTCGAATAGATACAGACACATACAGAGAGTGAGAAAACGAGAAGACTTAAGAGCCATTTTCCGATTACATCGTAACATTGGGTGTTTTGCTTTTTGGTCGTACAATTTATGCGCATGTAGAGACGCGGTACAAAAGTGGCAGTAAAAACGGAACATTAATCATGGACAAAATGGAAAAATCGTGGAAAATTATGCAGAAGAAAAATAACACGAATGGATTAACCAATAAAAAAGGGAGCAAAGTGCTTTTTAATTTCGTTGAATATTATGACCCTCGTTCGGGGAATGCGCTTGTCTTTTTCCCCTTTATTTTTTTTTTATTATTAATCCTTCGGTGACACCTAAACTTATCTTTCTGCGGAAGGTTTCTCTCGTAATCTAGTAAAATGTGGTGGCTTCTCTCTACATTTTAAAAAGAAAAAGTGTCTTCATTTGGCATTCGTTTGACGTTGACATTAGCAATTAACGCAAACGTGCAGACATGAAATAACAAAAAATCATCAAGCAAGAAATATTACATTCTCTAAATGGTATTCCGTGGTCATTGATGGGATTCTGGTTGATCTCAGGCACCAAAAAGAGAATTAAGAAGGTACCCCTTTCTCAGACAGACGGATTCATATCTACAGTGAGTGGTATAAACATACACGCACATTATTTCACAATTTGTTTTCATTTTATGAATGGGGTAGAATAAAAACTACTTCTCGAAAAATGTTTAAACACGAAACCTAAAAAAAACTTTCAATGAAAAGTGAATCAATTTTTTTTCGTCCAATTGAAGTGAACCAAAAAAAATTTGTTCAATAAAAGTGAACCCAAAAAAAAAATTCATTTTAGTGTATTTTACACTGAAAAAACCGAGTGAAATTTGTTTTTTGGTTCACTTTTATTGAACAAAATTTTCTTCATTCACTTCAATTGGACAAAAAAAAATTGATTCACTTTTTATTGAAATTTTTTTTAGGTTTCGTTTTAAAATAGCAATTTTTCGAGAAGTAGTTTTTATTCTACCCCATTCATATGTGATACCAATTACTTCTGAATTTAAGATTTATAATAATTAGATAAATTTGCAACACTTCCACCATCTCAACAAAATGAAATGAACAAATACTCGGACCGAAAAAAAAATTACTGTGAGTAACTCGGTTTTTTTGATGTATGACAACAATAAAATTATTTCGTAATCCTTTTTCATTGTAAATATCATATACCATGCCGACGAAGCATTAATTGCAATTTTCAGCAATAAATAAAAAAAATAATCTACACTTTTGTACACTTACACGACTAATTCAATTTTTCTTTTTTTATTCCTTCGTACAACGAACGGATACTACGTACATTCGAATTTCTACAAACGAACGCACAAACGAACGAGCGAATGAATGTTTCGAGTTTTAGATATATTATAAACTTATTTAAGATCTAGAAGCAAGTAGTCATTTTGCATATTGGTGAAATTGCAATCCCTGCGTCTAGCAAGTAATGAGTATATTTTTCTAAAAATTGGCCACTCTATTACAAAGAAAAATTGTTTGTAAACTTGTTGAAAAACGTTTGCATACTACCGTTTGGTATTGTACACATCATATTTAAAAGCATTCACTTTAGAAAAAAAAATCCGTCATGCCAAAATTACGCAGCTAATCTAATTATCTGTTGAAAAAATATTTTGAACTCAATTACTCTCTTCATCACTATCTCTGATTCTTTAACCTTCTCTCGCATTTCTATCATACACTCCATAGTGGCATTATCCCTTGCTCAACAATACAACACAATATAAATAAAAGTAACGACCACAATGATTCTATGGTATATTAAAATTGTTTTTGTGTTGTCGACCATTGTTAAAAAGCTGGGAGCGAAACACAACCAATTATGAATCCGCTCAAGAGTCTAATCTGTATAACATACAATTCCAAAAATACACAGAAAATATTCTCGATGCGACGATTTTTCTTTCTACTCTGCAGCAGTAGTTCAAAGTTTTGAAGCGTTTTATCGTTGAAAATGCGAGTTCACCTCTTCAAAATAAATTCAATTGAGCAGTTCCAGTTATTCATTTTAAATTTCGACTTATATCAGCTTTTGCATTCAACCATCAAATTCACAAAAAACAATCTCCATCATTTCGATTTAAATGTTGACTATCGCTTCTTAAATGTAAGGTTTCTTTTATGCGATATTTCTCTCTACTACTGTTTTGCCCACTTTAACTCTTTCTCTCTCTTTAACTTTTCGCTAAAAATCGAACGAACATTTTTATCTGACCCGGAGAGATGTTAAATAATTTAACACAGTGTGCTTGACTGCTAAAACATCTTATGTTATACAAAAATGTTGCGATGCGTGTGCAATAGTTGTTTGAAAAAGCATTCGAATCGAACGGTTCATTCTCTCACTTGGCAATAGCTTTAAAATTTAATATAAACTTACCGCCTGTCACTTCGCAAACGAGCAAAACGTCACTTCCTTCATTGTATGCTTCCACATTTTTGGCCTTTTCTCGTCGCTTTGCCTCGTAGATAATTGGACGATCTGGCGGAACTGAAAAAGAAAAAATAAAATATTTAGTGTGCATGAAAGAGAGAAAAGTATTTAAAACGTGCGCTGAATAACAATGTGCGATATCAACGGGGAAAAAATCATTGTGAAAACAAAATGAAAAATCACATTGAAGTAATCAATTATATTTATAATAATGTGCTTGGCTAGAATGCGAATGTTTGGCTTCTTATTATTCATTCATCAGTTTTCCCATCAATGGTCGTTTGTGTGTGTGCGTGTGCCGAAAATTTAAAAAATGCAAATGACTGACTGAATGATTAATATGCGAACGGAAGTTCTGTGAGCCGAAATCAATGCCCCCAAAAAACGAGAAATATTTGTTCCGATAACCAACCCATGCTTTTTCTTGCTATTTCGCTCTCTCTCTCTCTTGTTCGCTTTGTATGCGTCTATTGTAAGGAATGCTTCTCTGCACAGCTGAAGAATCCATCATGTTTGAGTTGAACAACGAAAGGATTCCACAAGTCATTATATAAACACAAGCTACCATCAACCATTTTCTCTCGTGCACCATTGTCCATTTTCACCGACTATAAACTTCATTCAGCGATTTGTTTACATTCGTGCCATTTTCTAGATGTCATAAGATTGTCTCCAGTGTCACTTCGATATCAACCGTACAAAATCAGTGCATAGTTTAATATTTATGTTAGCTAAAGATAAAATACACAATTTCAAAACGTAATACACTCTAAAGTTGATTTGAATCCGAGTTGTTTTCCTTTTTTACGTTTTTCTTCAAACATCGTAGAAGCGAATTCAAAGCTCACTTCATATTGGTCTATGGACTTTGATTACAAAAGTTCAACCATTGAAGATGTTTGTTAGGGGAATATGGGGAGCTTTGGTTTTTCTCGAAGAATGAGTACCGTTTGAAAGCTTGTTCGATGTTGAAAAATATTTATTGCTTTGGGTTTCAGTTTCACCTTATGAAATATATGATTTTTTTTTACGTTATCTGCATTTTGAGTTAGAAAATTTGCCATTGAATAATTTGAAGCCGTCGAATTGAAGGTGATTTTTGAGCCAGGCGCACGCCATATTTAACGAAGTGAGCATTTTTTTTTGATCAAATTTTCATTGAAAAACAGGAAAAAACATACCATACATTCTATAACTGAGTTCCCAAATGAGATGCTTGGGAAATACTTATCTAAGAGTTCGTAAGACATGAAGAGCCTTAACTTTTGTATATCAAGTTGAGTATTAATATCAGTTACATCAAAACATCATAAGAGTGGTTTTATCGAAATCTCACGTCACTCTGTTGTTCCACCACCCTCTTCTACTCTCACTCTCTCTCTCTCTCTGCTCGCATGTATGTGTCTCATTCTTTGTGTATAGATGAATGAAAGAATGACGTTTCGACATTGCTTCTTTACCCATATGAATAGACACAACACTCTGTCAGCCATAATATATTGTGCAATTATACAAGCCATGTGTAACGACTGTACTATGTGTGGTTGAATGTGTCTGCTTTTAGTGTCTGCCAAGTTCATTAAGCCCGTGCCATTTATTTAATATATTTACTGATTTATTTATTTTTTTTCCGTTCTTTTTCGTTCTATTTTGAACCAAAGACCTCAAATCTTTTTTGCTCTCTCTCTCTCTGTCTCTCTCTCTGTGTGTGTGTGTGTCTGCTATGCGGTCGTTGCTGAAACATTACCCAAAAATGATAAAAGTAACATAAATACATCGTCGAACAAATACAATTTATTCAATGTTGCATGAATTGCCGACAAATCCCATGCGACTCACGAACACGGCAATTCACTTAATCAGTTCAACAGAATAATTTACATCATATGACAATAGAACATTAGTATCGTTTTTCCTTTTTCTTTATCGACTCAAGTCGATCGACACACATAGACACAAGTGCACAAAGTAAACAAACAAACAAATATCCAACCCCAAAAACTAATTCCGCGGAGAACTATATCAAGTTCAGCAAAAATATGAAGGTGTCTTAAAGAAAAGAATTCATCAAACTTAATTATTGCTAAGCCACATTGTATTATATACACACATCGAACAAGCAACCAAACTTGCAATCACTCACTCTCCATTTTTTGTTACTCAATGACTTCTATGAATGAAGTTATAAGCAAAGCATGAGCTCAATACGAATAACCATCATTATACATATTCGGTTTCAATTATCATTGCAAAGATTCTTGGAAAATTTCATGCCAACATACACATCGAGCACATTCGATATGAAATTGAATTGGTTTGGTTGTCGATGTTGTTTATGTTATTTCAAATGAGATGGTAACTGATTCAACTCTCAATGTGATCACTCAATTGAGATGCAAAAATAATTTACTCTGACTATTGCCACCGATATAGAACGAAATGAGTTTTTGTCGATGTGAATGCTCAAAATTAATCCTCTCTGTGACATTTTAGTTTATACACTTTTTGAGTGTTTTGCAAAAAATACCAGGTGGCAAAGAATGGCGAGTAAAAATAAATTGATAAATAAAGATTATTTCAGGGCAAAAAAAAAGTTGAAGCTAAACAATTCCAGCTTTAATGACTACACTCGCTCGTCATTCATACGAAGCGTTCATTGTTGCAGCTATCAAATCATCTATGGTTTAATACGCTCACAAAATATAATTTGTCAAATCTAATCTAAGTAATTGCTGTAATTTTATTAATTCCATAACAAAATCTGTTTAGTTCCTTGTAGGATTTTTTTTTCTTCTTTTGGACTGTTTGTATCAACACTGCATGAGGAAATCGGAAACGTGCTTGAATGAAAAAGCTTTAAATCTGCACGAAATCATTTATTTAAATGGACTCTCAGACATAAGCATTTTTGCACCGCGGCACCAACGACTATATGTGTATTTATATGGGGGTGGAACGGACTCTATTCTATTTTTATATTCTGCGAATAAACAAAAGTGTAGCAGGTACAATAAAATTAGATTCACATCTAGACAATGAAAAGTGAGGCGAGAGAGAGAGAGCGGCATGGAATGCACGGGAATGTAAGTTAAAGAGAGTGAAAAAAGCGGTGAAATACAGATTATTTATTTACACACACTTATAACGAAAAATGGCGAATGAGCGCATACAAACATCTACTAAATAGCAATCGGCTGACAGTAACAAATGACCCTCATTTTTCAATTGTCTTTGCTTCCAAAGACGAATATATATACGTTTAACATTCAACGACAAGCATGCAACGCCGCTCAAGAAACGAAAACAAAAAAAAATCAACCTGAAGGTATGGCTACACACTGCCATGATATACGCACTTATCTATACATTTACATCCGCCACCGACTAACCAAATTAAAATCGAAAAGGTGCGAGTAGTTTTGACCTCCTCATTTTCATTCACTTCCGATTGTGATTGCACGTCTGGTTTTTTGGATGTTTTCCGCTTTTCCACTTAAATCCCATGTCTACGTCGTTTTTTTTGTTTTTAAATTTATTTTATTCATTCGTTTTTAAATGATGGCCCATTGTAAGGGATGAGGAAGTGTGCTTGTGAAATATCCAGGTAAGTGTTTTATTTATGAAATAGACGTACTTTTTTTTAAATTCAAGTGTGACTATTGTTTCTGATGTTAACAGCGTCAATCTTTTCTGCCATATCGTAACACTCCATACCAGCAATGAATACTGTAATTTGGTTTTTATTTGCCGCTTTTGTCTAATGCCTTGTTTAAATTATGCCAACCGGAACAGGATGTTCCACCGCAAACAAAATTTTTGTGTTTGTTATTTTGTTCAGCGACAAACAATGGGCATTAAGGGAAAATGATTGTGGAGTGTTTGGCGTACGTTATCGAGACACATACACACAGATATAAAGCACACAACACCCACAACACCCCATCAAACGGAAATGTTTTTGCAAATTGGTGAGTGGTGATGCTTTAAATTGAATATCAAACGCATTCGCATTGCAAATATATTAGCATAAGTGGTAGCATCACATATCTCTGGTATATTTATTTTTTTATATTAAAATCATAATAGTTCGAATTTGATGGCAGAAAATATTCCAAATTTTCACAAATCATCGCGTAGTTGAATAAAAAACACCACTAAAATGTCATTATAATGTTTGATCATACTATATAATATAGAATTGTATAGTTTGAACGTAATGTGTGAGTGTAATCAATTTTGTCCCAAGTGAAGATAATAAATATCAACAAAAAGCTAAATAAATCGTATATAAAAACACATAGCTCTAGCGGAATACGAAAAAAGCCATCCAGAGTGTAATCATGGTGGCAAAGAGAATCGAAGACAAAATGCACATCAGCATGGAATTAAAAGAAGTATGCCGCAAAAAAGGTACATAGAAAGATGCCTCCAACACTCACACAATTAGACACTACTAGGCGCTCGTCAAAAAAACACCACACAATACTAAGCGCTCACAAAATCGCAAGATGAAATCAAGTTGGTCAAATGAAAGAAAAATCAACGACAAAAAAAGCAAAACAGTGCGACGCAATAGTATCATGTCATTATAGCTGTATGCAGCATTCGGAATATATAAATGAATGAAAAGACGAAATGACATAATAACGTATGCCTGTACAGAATAGATGATTTGGGCACATGAGAATATAATTTGCCATCATAATCTCTCAGTTTTTTTCTCTTTTCATATCACATCATTTGCTTCTACTTAATCTTCATATATCTCTATAAAGACATTTACTATTTACGCTCAAACAATTGTACATTTTAATTTTGGTTGCTGTACAATCGACCGGCAGTGTTTGAGTCAAACGATGCATCATTTTTTGTAAATGATAAAATTGTAAGTTTTTGGTAGGTTTAAGAATTTTAATTCTTTTAAAACTTCATTAGATTCATTTTTGTATTGCTATTAATGTGGAACATTCGTTGGAAATAAAATATTTTTTCGTTGTCAATCAACAGATACGCACAGCCGTTGGATTTAGGTCAAAAGGAAATGAAACGTTGTACGTGGGCTGTATATTTTTATGTGATTCTTTTTATCACTGACATGTCGTAATGATTTGGCCTTTTTTGCTCATTTGCGGTCACACATCAACAAAATAGTCACAGATATGAAAGGATGCTTCAGAATCTTTCCTATTTTTTCCCTAAATGAACTCTTTTCAACATCAATCTTTCCTAATTAACAAAAAAAATAATAAAACTAAAATATGAACTACTCAATATTTATTTAATAATGCAAAAACTAATAATAAAGTAGGATCAATCTCTTGTTTTTTTTTGCGAAAAGCGTTGAACTAAATTTCATGTAAAAAATGATTCGTTTTCAGTTGTCCGTTTCAAAAACCAATAAATTTCGAATTTAAAAAGCATTCTTAATTAATTGTTTTACCACTGCATTGGATAAGCTGACTTGAAATGGAAGTTAGTTTTTTGTGTTAAGTTACAAATCACGGCGAGAGAGAAAAAAGATGGTGGAATAAAGAAAAATCAACTCAAAACTCAAACACACACCGAATTAATTATAATATTCGAGATTGCAGAGAGGAAAAGAGACAGAGCATAGAAATAAAGAAAAAAGAGCAAAAAAACGTCATAAATAAATTGCTGCATCGAAAAGCAGCTTTAATGCAGCTGCAAAAATAAAATGAGACGCATTATTCTCTCACTCTCTCTTTCTGTTTGGATTGGTTGTTCATAGTAGAGACGAAAAAAGGGGATAGAAACAACGCATTCATTCCATCAAAGTCTTTGGTAAATCGTATTAAAATTAAATATTTAAAATATTTTTCAATCATGTTTGTAATGCATATAAAACAATTTCCACAATTTATTCCGTCGTCTAAACGAAAATACGCTCTTAAAGTGAATCAATTTAATTTTATTTTCCTCTTTCATTCCTATTCTGTCTTCAATTCCTTTTTTCATGCTGCGTGCTGCCTTTCCGTTTTCATGCACATTTCCTGTTCTTTGGGCTTCGTCTTCATGTTATTTTTTTCTTCTTCTTCTTCTTCATCTTCTTGATTTCGTCTAGTCGTTTTTCTCAGCGATTGCCGATGAGGAAATAATATGCGAAAAGGCAAAGGAAATGATATAGTTGGAAGATTATTAACATAATCTTCGTACATACATTCAATAGCTAGCTTTACCTTTTACGCCGAGGGTGGTGAAAATGGTGAATACGGTGATAGTCCTTTACACACACAACACACATACAAGATTTCGCGTACCTTTGCAGGAAATGTAGTGTTCAATGCATTTCCACTCATACAGTTACGCAAATGATTCTTTCTTCCTTATTATTTAAGCTCGTTTTCGTTTCACATGGAATTGATGTGAGGGGTGGCACGATGAGGAATGAGAGGGATGAAATGCGAACAAACGATTCGAAGAACTCTTTTAAAAAGTTGCACAATGTTCGAAGGAATTGCCACGGGGACAAACCGATTGAAATATAGTATCTATACGCTCAATATATTATAGTTGTTTGATCGTTAGATTGAATCCTATAATTCAGCGAATACAGAATTGGAAACAAACAAAAAAAAAATTGGAAATGCAGATTCAATCACATTTTTCGTATTCATGAAAATATCTTGTGAATGTTGCTCACATCGACATGCTGCGACAGCATGAAAAACATATATTCATTCTCGTCGCAATCGAAACGGTATGAAATAAAATTAGATGATGCATTAAATGTGTGTACACGAAATGGAAAAGAAACTCTTCCGATTCCGTCCGAAAAATGTGTGTGTTTCCAATCGATATCTCACACTCGATCGCACATTCACACTTGATTACAAAACGACACATAATTGTAATTTCTGTCTTTTTTTTACTCATTTTCCATCGACCCAATAGGAATCCGAGACATTTTTGTGCCTGAGTCCAATGAAAATTAATATAAATCACGATCTTTCTTTATTCAAAATACTACAACTATTCAGCTGTAAAAATGCCAAAAACGACACAAAATTGCTCATATATTTGTTTACTCCGCCAGAGCTGAAGAATCGACGGTATGAATTTGAGTGACGGATCACATAAAATTAACAAATCGGAAATATGACTTGAAAAAACATTATCGTTACAAATTCAATACGAATCAATTAAGAAGTGCGAAGACACAGCGCGATGTTTCAGTACTGTTTGGTTCATGTGCTGCGTAATTTATGGCTCACTTTGGTATTACGTATAGTAAAATGTGTGCATTGCTTGGGTGGGAGGGACTGTTAAAATATGCAGGTGCCAAAACACACATGAGAGCTTTAGACAATTCGAAGAAAGCCTTCCTTTTACATATTTTTGCGATCATCGTAAAATAGGCATAACATGCAAACATAACACTATCAACATTTTTTTTACTTTTATTAGTTTGTACCGTATGTGGTGTGAATGTGAAATTTATATGAGGTTGCATCAAATATCCACGATGATACTGTATATTTTGAGCAATCCATGACACATCACACACACTCTCTCATCATGCTTATAAATAATTTATGGAAAAAGTTGTGATTTCATTCTTTTATACATCAGTTCAGTGTTGCGCAACGAACGGAAATCTACTTGAAAATCGTTTGAAATCGACTTTTATGTAATGCACAATTTTAGCGTCGATTTGCCAACGAACACCGCATTGTTTAAGTGTGTGTGTGTGTGTCTGTACTGAGCACGCAACAAATGTGTTGAATTTTTCTACGTCTTTTTTTTCGGGGGGTATTCATTTTACATGCACTATGTAATAAAATCCATACATTTTTTCTCTATTGTTATTATTATTGGTGCTGATGGAAACTGACGGAAATGGTTTTTCTCGGAGCAACCCTTTTGCAAAATGCGGTTGATATAAGCAATTGAAAGATGTGTGTGCCCAGCGGGATAATTTTTAGCATTGATTTTGTTTGTTTGTACTTCTTTTTGTAACTTTTGCATATGAATACACACAACAATATGCACGATATCCTTGAATATGTGACTGTGTGATGCGAAATCTGAGAGCCATTCAAATCATTACAGCCACCACCGTCGACGCTATTGGTACAACAATCGCATCAAATTGCAGAATTGAATTTTTTTTTTTTTTTTCGTTAGCACACATTTTTTTGCCTCAAATTGGCATATGAATAAAAAATAAGGTAAAATGAGTATGGCATTTATTGTTTCATATCAATAAAAATAAAAAAAAAAGTGAAAAAGGTGCTTCTTTCGCTGCCTTTCCGTGACACACGTCACAGGCAAATTTTTCTTTTTCTATCTTCTTACAACTTAAGTAATAATGACATTACTGAGGATTTTTCGCTCATGATTTCACTCCTTTTTTTCCCTTTTCGCATTTAGAAAACATACAGAAATAGTTGTGTATTGCCGTGCGTTTTTTTATCACAAGGAATCGCTCAAAGTGAAAATTTTCACAAAAAAATTGGTATGGATGAATGGTAGAGAACGATTTTTTTACTATCATAAATAGATGGCATTCCCACGAGTCCAATATCACAGTTACCAACACTTAAGACAGATAAAGAAAGCGATGAAAATATGTTTGAATTTTTTGGTGAGCGTAATGCCACTCCGCATATACAAAATATAATCATGATCCTTTTTTTTTGTATTGCCTTTTTCAAAGCATATGCATACAAAACGGATGGCATTTAGAATAAAAACGAAGGAGACGGAAGCAATGGCATAAAAAATGTGTGTCCATTAAAGAATATTGTTTTCTATTACGCACGCACATATGTGTAAATGTGAGTTATGGGTTATGAGCATTCATGCATTTTTTTAAAAGGAATTTTCGATTCATAGGGAAATGTTCGGCTTCATTTTTTATCATTCGTTCGAAACTGGACTGCATATGACATGTTCGAATTTTGATTGAATTGAACACACGGATTCTGCACACGGTTATTTTGTTGTTCTTATATTGATTTTCTATTTTTATTCACGTGTGAATTAACTTCTTTCTTGTTTATGAATGCAGTTTTATTTTGTTCTCTGTAGATAAACGGTGTCAATTTTGATTTTTGCAATTCACCCGATTTGTACTGTTAATACAATACTAACGGTAGGTGATGGTGAAAATGAACATTATATGTTTGGGCAAGGACATAACGACTTCGTTCAGCACAAAAAAAGTTCGAAAAAAAACCGCACGGAAAAAGATGAATGAATCACGTGCGATATTGAAATTTCCAGTGTTTCGGTTGGAATAAATCGATCTCTACGAGTGTTCGAAAAACTTTGATTTTTTTTTTCTGCGTGTATTTTTACAATCACTGAAAAATATAAGAGAAACACCACACGTATCGCATTGAACAACAACAATGCAAGCAAATGCGCTACTTAGCAAATAAGAGAGGACTGAAGTGAACGGTTCTCCACTTGCAATTTGACTTGATACTGCTTTTAGTTGCTATTCTATTGCAATCTCCAATTATATTATTATGAGCAAATATGAATGATGCACTTACCAATCACTGTTAAGTTGATCTTTAAACTTCGAGTGGGAGAATTACGAAAATCGACTCGACACCGATACATTCCTTCGTCGGCCAGTTGAATACTGTCAACTTTTAATTGTGCTGGACGATTTGCGGTACTGAAGAAAGCCCGGGAACCGAACACCGTCGGCGATGACCAAAGTTTTGCCTGTCCAATGGGTCGACCGCGCACATCAAAACTGTAAACACATTGCAAATGAGAAATTAATAATAAGAATTTAAAAAAAAATATTTTTTATACAATTATTTATCTATTTATTTTCTTTATTACAATTTAAGCGATAAAAAGTTTTCGATTTTGAAAAGACAAAAAAACTCGAAAAAAATGTTTAACTACAAATGAGTGAATTTCTTGTTATTAAAGTTTCGAAAATCACGACAAATTCATTTGAACAAAATTGCTGTTCACGCCACAGATTCACAAAAAAGCATGTCAAGACAATTGTGTGTGTTTTTTTTTCTCTCAAAAACTAAAATCAAACACGTTCCAACTTTTAATAAGTTCAATTTCCGTCTCTGTATGATGCAATTTCTTTATGTTTTTGCAATCGAAGCATGTTATAAGTAAGGTGTAGGTTTTCTGTGTGCTGAAAATGCAAAAAAAAAGCAACACTTACTGGTACAGTGGTTCGTTGTCTCCTTCTCGATACCAAAGCACCATGAACACCACATCACCTTTTTCCAACGGGTCTATGTCGCACGGCAACATTGCTTGTCTACCTAATACACCGCGAACTGACGTTATGGGTACTGCAACGAGAGAAAAAAAAAATGATTAAAATAATTGGCAACATTTGCATAAAATAGATACAACTGATTATTAATGCAAAAGTGAATGTTCACAGACGCAAATTTATAAATAAATAAATGAATTTTAAACAAATATATATGTATATATTGTGATATTTCTTTTGTTAATCAATGAGGTAATTGACCAGTAGTCAGCAAATAATTTATTATTTATAAATTATTAATAGAATCGTTGATCCATTATTTAAACATAATTCATTATGTGTAGAGTGGGTAGGGGAAGGTTTGTCATTTTTTTGTTTGGTCATTTTTATTTCATTCAATTAATTTACGATCGTAAAATGTCACTTATACTGAGTATGACAAGCAATTAATCATTTGTAAAATTAATAACAACAAAAAAAAGAACAAGCCATCATGAATGGCACAGAAATGCATGGAAACATATGCACACCAATACCAAAAAAACTGTCAAACTCACGAGTACACCACCCAAATACATCCAGTAAAGAAATTAATTTTCACTAGCAAAAGTATTTAATTGTTTCCGTAACTGGTATATGGTATCATTTTTATTCACAATTTTAACAATTTTCGCTTTTAAATTATGCTCTTTCGTGTTTGCCTGCATTTTTGGTTATTGTTTTTTTTTATTGATGTCACACACATTGGGTCCGTTTTTTCATTGCCTCCATCTGTTATTCTCATGCTTCTATGAAAATCTAAAAGCCCCAAATACAAAACTTCAAAATGCCATATGTTTTGTTAATTGGTAAAAAAAGTCGCTTCACATTTTTCAACGATATATTACAATTATTATTTACATGTCAATGCGATCTGTTGTAATTTATAATTCGTAAATGAATACAAATCCACTGATTTTTTTTCTCTCTCGCTTTCACATTGTTTTGGATTATTACAACATTTCTGCATAATTTGTCTAATGCCAGAAAATCCAAAAACATGGATTACAGTTTACATGGAGACTGTTCAGGTCTTTTAATAGCTAGAAATACGCTAACTTTTAACAGCTCAATAATCTATATCGAAGATTTGTTTCAGTGTGTCATATCCTAGGTCATAACTATGAAAGTGTGAAGGAGGAACGGTAAGGAAGAAAATGGGGAGAACATAGTCCAACATTTAGGTATTTCACGATAGAGCAAACCGCATCATTTATTTAAAAGAGATAAAGTTGCCATTTGATTTGTATCGCTCTCATGGACAATATTCTAGCGATAATCAATTTATTTGTCACATGCACATTCACGTGAATTGCGTAAAATACTAACCGAGAGAGGTGCCGTAATGTTTTTCCCATACAAAATTTATACAAAGCAAGCTCATAATAGACTTGCGTAATGAAAGTTTCATTCAATTTTCTGGTTTTGGCGAATTCATTATATTTACAATAATATTCATTATGGTTATTGCGAAAATTCGGTGGTGACTTTGATTGTCGTATTTTCATTCCGAATGAAATACAATCGGTTCTGGTGAGATGGGGAATGTTGTTACCTCATTGTGAAGGCCAATTAACTCATTGCTAAAACAAAGTATTTGCTTATTTAGTTTATATTCAAATGAGCGCGCAATGTGCAAACCATTGAGCCATGGGGAGCCCCACAATATGCGGAATGGAATGTTCATCAAAACACAAAGACAACAAAAGTTTTCGCCATCATTTTTGATAGAAAACGAAAGCAAAAACAATTGACTTGTCGGAAGTTTTGCGTATATTTTAAAGACTTCTTAATAAGCAAAAAACTTTTCAATACAATTTATGGATTTTCGACACAATCAACGTCGCTTTCGACGTTGACGTTGTCGAATATCTGAAAATGATATTTGCATTTGCATCTTTGCGAAAGTTTATTTGAGTAAATCTATATATTGGTATGTTATTGCGATAGTATGGCAAACTTAATGCCCACTACAGCTTCTTTTTATTATTTAATGGGAGGCGCATATGCATATATATATGTATTTAGCATTAAAACGACGCACACACCATCTACGCCGATGCATTCCTGCAAGATTCATGTGTGAGATCATATTGTAACAGCTGTTTATCTGTCATCATGTCTGAACTTTCAAATCGCTCACTCATTTATACGTTTTGAAAACCTGCATATTCACAACTTATATTATCAATGTGATGGGAATGGTTTCATTTCGTTTGAAAACTTGATCTCGACAAAACACAATTCAGCTTATATAAAACACATCATCATCTCTCTCACTCTCGGCAAACAATTTTGTGTGGCATGCTTTTTGCATTGTCATCATGCCGCAAAGTGCTGTTCTAATGATGCATGTACTTTAACAAATTCATCCCTTATTACGGAAAATTCACAACATTCATCCGTTATTCAAAATTTTGAATTGTACGCCCGGTGTATTCATATTTATCTAGACACTTTTTGTGGAAGAGCGTCACATTTGTTCGCGACTAAAAAGGCGACCATATTCGCGCTTCATCCACACATGTTTGCTTTTAAATGACTGAATGAGTGAGTTGTGTGTAAGTGAGTATTTGGATAAGTTGATGCTGTCGTTGCACAGAATATGCTTAAATATGCTGAAATTATGAGTTTATCAAAAGTAATCAGAGATAGTATACAAACACACGCATTCACACACAAATTGAGGCGAAGCATTTTACATGCGCTTAAGAAATACAATAATACATACATTTAATTTAAAACACATATGCTAACACAAAACGGGCTAAATCATATAATATTATGTACATCGTTCACACACTCTCGCTCTAGGAGGTGATGAAAAGTTGGAAAAATTCTTGTGAACTCTTTGCCAATGTACTTAATTAAAACTTTGTTATTTGAATTGTTTGAAATATACATGTTGAGTAGATTCGGCAATTTATGTGCTCAAGCATCCGCAATATTGTGGCTTTTTCACCATACCTATACAAAACAATCAAGTGTGTGTGTGTGTGCCTGTGTATGTAACTGCTGCTACTATTGCTTTTGCAAACGATCGAATTAAAAGCAATAGCTGTGAGACAGTAGAATTTACTAGAGAAAATGAAATTTAACATAGTCAAACATATTGTTACAACCGCATGAAATGAAATTTCGTTTGTCATCCTCCCCCTCACTCACATTTTCTTCCATCCAAAACTCTTTTACTTCAATAACAATGCACATAACATAATATTGCTGTGTGATCTGATTATCTTACCACTTCTAGATCGGATGCATAATTCTCAACTCAGTTCTCTTGGTTTCTTCTATCACACACCATCACATCGCTCAATCAATCGGCCATTTTGCTTTTCGTATTGCTATTTAATATGAAATACACTGACTGCTCAAGGAAGTGAGCGGAATTAATTTCCTTTTATTGCCCTATAAATTGACAAATTTGCACTGAAGTGTGAAGACGGAAAAAAAGAGAAGAAAAAAAGAACCAGACAGATAAGGAAAGCAGAAGACACAGAGAGATTTTCACACAAGCTGTTGAATGTTAAAAATGTGAGGGAAAAAAAAACGAAGGTAAAAACGCATCAATTGTCGTACATTACGTTATTAAATTTTCATGGGAATTGAAATGGAGAGAGAGATGCGAAGAGAGACAGAGAAAAGGAGAACGAATGGAATTTACTTTGTAATTACATCATGTGCCGTCAGATTGGACATTCCTTTAGCCACTGTTGACTTACAATTAGATCTCGTAACAGCACATAAGTTTGAAATTCAATAATCTTTTTCCAATTCTTCTTTTTTTCCTTTTCTTCTGCTCCTTATTTTTTTGCTCTCTTTGCTGCTCTTTTTGTTCGACTGTGCTTTCAATTATGGCATTTAGAAGTAACAGCAATGACCATATCTATTTCTTTCGTTGGGTCTTGACTTATTCGTTCATGTTTTTTTTATCGTCATTGTCGTCTTCGTGCTGTTATTGTTAATAGAAAGGATGATCCATTATATTATAAAATGAGGAAAATAAGGATTATTGTGTAAGAAAATATTTTAAGGGCGAAGTGAGAAGAAAAAAACATCATCAGAACATTGTGATGAAAGAAATTCAATATTGTGTCACCGTGAATTCATTCAACTTGAAACGAATATATTGCACAATTTTTTGTTGACACTTTCTGTATATAGAGTAGTTTTCAAATAAAAAATAATGTGCTCTTCTCCTCCTTCTTCATTATATGTTGTAATATTTGATTCAAATAAAAAAGAATGAATGCGATAACTTTAAATGAATTGGCATTGGGCAAAAGATAAGCAGTTGCATGAAAATGTGTCTTGTTTATTTATTTGCAACTTTGTATCGAAGTGGTGCTCCAATGAATATTTGTTATGCGTTGATCTTATTTTTTGTTCTGGTACATTTTTTGCCGTTCATTTTTGTGCTTATTTGAGTGATGGAAGAGGAAAAATGATGCTAAGAGAGAGAGAGAGAGAGAAAAAAAAACATCGACCATTTGTTGCCATCCGTGCATTTTGTACCGAACGACTGTAAAGAATACATCAATTCCCATTTTCTTTTTGAATCATATTTATATGTTGGAAACGTGCACATTTTCACATCGATTTTCAACCATCCTTGAACCGTCGAAAGAAAGCGACGCTGTATGATATTTCAATGGAAGTTTGTTTGTGTGTGCGCGTAAAGCTGTGCGAATGAGCTGGAAACGTATGTTTTCCACGCGATGATTGATGATATTTAATTTCATTTTCTTCTTTATCAACTGGCTGAACATAGTCGGAAGTAGAATCACCATTCACCAATCCTCAAACACCTCAACTTATTCGCACAGATTCATTTCTCACTTTGCCGCTATGTTTTCGTATTATTATTATTTTTTATCTTTTCTGCTCGACAATTTTTATTTGCTCTATTTCTTTGTCAATTTCAAGAACATCCCATTCATTGTGAACACATTTTTCGTTTTCCACTCAACCAATTGTCGCACACTCTATTTTCTTAAACGCTTCTACATTACATGTTTGAATATCGAACTGAAC